GGTTGCTGAGTCATCTGTGGTTTTATTTTTAATTTTTCGAGGAACCCCCATACTGTTCTCCACAACGGCTGTACTACTTTACATCCCCACCAACAGTGTGGAGGCTTCCCTTTTCTCCACAGCCTCGCTGACACTTAGGTCATCTTTTTGGTAATAGCTGTTCTAACAGGTGTGAGGTGATATTGTGGTTTTGATTTGCATTTCCCTGATGATAAGTGATGTTGAGCATTTTTTCATGTATGTGGTGGACATTTGTATGTCTTTTTTGAGAAATGTCTGGTCAGGTCATTTGCCCATTTTTTAATGGAGATGTTCCCTTGCTATTGAGTTCTTTATATATTTTGGATATTAGCCCCTTATCAGACAAATGGTTTGCAAATATTTTCTTCCATTCCAAAGGTTGTCTTTTCACTCTGCTGTTTCCTTTGCTGTGCAGAAGCTGTTCACATTGATGTATCCCATGGTCTATTTTTGCCTCTGTTGCCTGTGCTTTTGGGGTCATAGTCAAAAAATTTTTGGCCAGACCAATGTCATGGACCTTTTCCTCTATGCTTTCTTCTAGTAGTGATTTTATAGTCACGGGTCTTACGTTAAGTCTCTAATCTACTTTGAGTTTACTTTTGTACATGGTGTGAGATGAGGATCTAATTTTATTCTTCTGCATCTGGATATTCAGTTTTCTCAGCAGCATTTACTGAAGAGACTATCATTTCCCCATTGTGCTTTCTTGGCATGTTTGTCAAAAATCAATCGACTCTAAATGTGTGGGTTTATTTCTGGGCTCTCCATTCTGTTCCATTGGCCTATGTCTGTTCTTATGCCAGTACCATACTGTTTTAACAATTATAGCTCTGTAGTCAATTTTTAAGTCAGGTAATGTGATGCCTAGAGGGTTTGTTTTGTTTTGTTTTGTTTTTTCCCCCATAGGAAGCAAACTGTATTAGTTATCTATTGCTACATAACAAATTACTCCCAAACTTAGTTATTTAAAATAACAATAAACATTTATCTCACACAGTTTTTGGCACTTAGGAATTTGGGAACAGCTTAGCTGATTGATTCTGGGTCAGAGCCTGTCTCATGAGATTGCAGTCAGCTGTTGGCTGGGACAGCAGCATCTGAATGTTTGATCGGGACAGGAGGATCTGCTTCCGAATTCACTCATGTGGTTGTCAGCAGGGTTTCTTCCCCTTATCGGCCTCAACATGGGGTTTCTCACAACATGGCAACTGGCTTCCTTCTGGGTGAGCCATGGGGGTTGCAGGGGAGAAAGAGACAGAGAGAAAGAGAGAACACCAGTATGAAAGCTGCAATATCTTTAAAATTTTTAATTGGCATTAATAATTACACATATTTATGGGGTACATAGCAATGTTTCAATACATATGTAGTGATCAGATCAGGGTAATTATTAATAGCATATTCACCATCTCAAACATTTATGACTTTGTTGTGTTTGCGACATTCAATAGCTTCCTTATAGCTATTTGAAACTGCACAATGGATTATTGATTTATTTTATCAGAAAGCATTAAGTGAAATTATTGTTAACTGCAGCCATCCTACAGTGCTATAGAACACTGTAACTTATTCCTATCTAGCGGTAATTTTTCATCCTTTATTTTTTATTTTTTGAGACAGAGTCTTACTCTGTCACCCTGGCTAGGGCGCAGTGGCATCATCTTCAATTTTTTGCAGTAGTTTGAGAAGAATTGGTATTAATTCTTCTTTGACACATTACTGCCACACCAAAAAAATTTTTTCCTTGCAGCCATGGCATTTTATTATGAAAATTGAATAAATACTTTGAAAACAAAATGATACTTTCTAATTTAATGAAAAATTTGTTGTTTTTTAATTGTTTTCTGTGCATGAGTTCCATGCAACTTGAAAACTAGTTCTTCGTCTGTAGTCCTAGCACTCTGGGAGGTTGAGGCAGGTGGATTGTTTGAGCGCAGGAGTTCAAGACCAGCCTGAGCAAGAGCAAGACCCCATCTCTACTAAAAAAATAGAAAGAAAATTAGCTGGACAACTAAGAATATATAGAAAAAATTAGCCGGGCATGGTGGCGCATGCCTGTAGTCCCAGCTACCCAGGAGGCTGAGGCAGGAGGATTGCTTGAGTCCAGGAGTTTGAGGTTGCTATGAGCTAGGCTGACACCACAACACTCTAGCCTGGGTGACAGAGTGAGACTCTGTCTCAAAAAAAAAAAAAATAATAAATAAATAAAAATAAATAAAATTAGTCTTGTGGCTCCTGAAGAGATATGTGAGCTACATATGCTTCATGAGGCCCTGGGCTCAAAACTAGCATTAATTAAATTCAACTCACATGGCAGTTAATGTGTTACAGCTTGAGTAGGATTCAGCAGTGAACCCATTCAATCCTGGATTTTTCTTTTTTGGGAGACTTTTTATTACTGATTCAATCTTGTTACTTTTTATTGCTCTATTCAGGTTTTCTCTTTTTCATGATTTAGTCTTAGTAGGTTGTAGATCTCTAGTTATTTACCCTATTTCTTCCAGGTTATCAATTTGTCGGTGTATACTTGTCCACAGTAGTCTCTTATAATCCTTTTTATTTCTGTAGTATCAGTTGTAATGTCTCCTCTTTTATTTCTGATTGAGTCTTCTCTTTTTTCTTAATCTAGCTAAAGGTTTGTTGATTTTATCTTTTCAACAAACCAACTCTTTGTTTCATTTATCTTTTCTAGTCTCTGTTTCATGTATTTCTGCTCTGATTATTATTTCCTTCCTTCTACTAACTTAAGTAATAGTTTGTTCTTTTTCTAGTTCCTTGAGGTATAATTTAGGTTATTTGGGACTTTTTTCTTGTTAGAGGTAGGCCTTTATAAACTTCCCTCTTAGAACTTTTGCATATCCTGTAAGTTTTGGTATGTTGTGTTTCCATTTTCATTTGTCTCAAGATATTTTAAAATTTTCCTCTTAATTTCTTCCTTGACCCATTGGTTATTTAAAAGCATGTTGTTTAATTTCCACGGATTTGTAAATTTCCTCAAATTCCTATTATTGATTTCTGGTTTCATACCAGTGTGGTCAGAAAAGGTACTTGATATGATTTGAATCTTCTTAAATTTGTTAAGACTTGTTTTGTGCCATATGATCAATGTTCCAGGTGTGCTTGAGAAAAATGTGTATTCTCATGCTGTTAAGTGGAATGTCTGTGTGTGTGTGTTAGGCACGTTTGCTCTAAAGCATAGTTCAAGTCCAATGTTTCTGTATTGATTGTCTGGATATCTGTCCATTGTTCAAAGTAGGGTACTGAAGTTCCTTACTACTATTACTGCATCACAGTCTCTCTCTCTTGTCAGATCAATTTGTACTTGCTTTATAAATTTAGATGCTCTGATGTTGGGTGCATATATATTGACAACTTATATCTTCTTGATGAACTGATCCCTTTATTATCATATAATAACCTTCTTTGTATCATTTGACAGTTTTTCATTCAAAGTCTATTTTATCTGATACAAGTATAGCAGCTACTCCTCTGTTTTGGTTTCCATTTGCATGGAATATCTTTTTTCCATCCTTTCATTTTCAATCTATGTATGTCTTTAAAGCTGAAATGAATCTCACGCATGCAGCATATAGTTGGATCTTGTGTTTTATTCCATCAGCCACTCTTTCTTTTGATTGGTAAATCTAATCTGTTTACATTCCAGGTAATTACTGACAGGTAAATACTAGTGGCATTTTGTTAATTGTTTTCTGATTGTTTTGGAGATCTTTTCTTCCTTTCCTCTTCTCATGCTGTCTTCCTTTGTGATTATATGATTTTCTCTAGTGGTATGCTTTGATTCCTTACTTTTTATCTTTTATGTATATACTATAGGTTTTTGCTTTGTGGTTACCATGAGGTTTACAGAAAACATCTCAGTTATAGCAGGCTATTTTAAGCTGATAAGTTTGCTTTGATCACATAAAATAACTACACTTTTACTCCACTCCTCCCACACATATTTTGTTTCTGATGTTACAATTTACATTGTTTTATATTGTATATTCCTTTGCTTTAGTTCTTTACACTATAAAAGAAGGATTGTCACTGACTTTTGCTTTGAGCATATCAAGTTCCTTTGGCCTTAATTTTAGGCTCAGCGAGAAACTTTCTGATATGTAACTCAGGGAGGTAGCATCACTGACTCTGGAATCACAGTTCTGCGTTCAAATCCCTGCTCTGTCTGTCTTCAGTGTGTCACTGTGGTTAAATTACTTATTGTCTTTGAGCCTCTGCTTTTTCATCTGTGAACTGGGGTCGAGACTATCTCATGTAGCTGCAGTGGGCATCCAACTGGTGATCACTTAATGCTCAACCACGTCCCCCAATCTGTTCTCCTCACACCTTCATCAAGAAGCAGTACTCTGTGCAGCCCAGGTCTTAGGGGGAATAACGTAATAAAAACTAAGCTAACATTTCTGTGGCTTTTGCCATGTGCCAGCACAGCACTAAATGTTTACATGTATTATTTCATTTCGTCTTCATAATAGCTCTATTTATAAAGAAACTGAGGCTTAGAGAGGATAAGTGACTTGCTCAGGATTCCAGCTAGGACTTGTCAGAAGCAAGATCTATTTTATATCGAAATTTAAAATATTTGTATCTAGTTTATACGCCTGTTTTCTGTAGGTTTGGGCAGCATCAGTCCATGAGAGCCTCATCATTTCTGAGTGAACTGATAAATGGACCATCCGAACATGTGAGGTGGAAAATTAGGTCTCTTGGTGTGGGGACAAAGTCTCAGGGCCAAACACTGTACAAGTTCTACTCTGCCGGTCTAGCGCCTGCCACAGGAGCTCTTGGGTGGTCGGTGCTCTGAATAGAGGCTGCAGATGGAGCTGCTTATCTGAATAAAGTGGGGCTGCCACAGTCAGGGTCCCTCACTTTGAACTAATAAAACTGAACTGTGGCAATAGGGCTCTAAATGTCCTCTGTGACTTGATAGACTGAGCGCTAGACAGCCAGCCAGCAGGCCTGCAGAACTGAAACACAGAGGCATTTATTGTTAGGAAGGGCAAGTCTTACATCACAAATGGGTTTTAACATATAAACACATCAGAAGGGAGATGCCCCCAGCCCACGGGTTCTTTGCTCCCGCCAACGCATGCTTCAGTTACACTGCGGCCTGGCCCACCGCCGTGCCCTGCAGAAGCTGACGTTCCTCACGTTCTCCATCAGCTGGGGGAGATGGACTGTGACAGACCCTGGAATGCCATCCGCACAAGCTCCACCCACTTTCTAGGCTTCAGGGGAAACAGGAAAAAGTTCCAACAGGCAAAATGTGCTTCCTAAAAAGCTGGACGGAGGTATGTGCCATTCCTTTGCTTAGCAAGCAAAATTAAATCCACCAGTCTGGTGAAATGACATGGTGCCAGCACTGTCCAAGAGATAGGGAGTCTACACTGCGCAAGGTGGGCGTGGAAGCCCTGGGCACAGAAGCGCGGGAGGCAGTGGGGCCCGAGCTGGTGGGAGAGGCGGGCTGATCGCCAGTCGCCTTGGGATCGTCGTCTCGGGGTCTCTAGGCCTAGGGAGGCTTCAGTCCTCAGTCACAGGCGGGGGCATGAGCTGCAGCTGGAAGTTCTCATTCTGGAAGATGCTGCTGAAGGCAGGGCTGCTCTGGGAGCCGCCGAACAGCCTGTAGCTCTCACTGCCGCGACTCTGGGAGAGTTCTGTAAGGAGAGCTAACTGCAAAGGAAGGACAGCACATTAGCACAAGACTTGTGGGGAACAGGAAATTTGTGTGTGTGTGGGGGTGTGTGTGGGAGGGATGTGGGAAATGGGTGGAGGGGGTTCTGAATTCTCCCACCTCGGATGCAAGAGAGCACTACGTGGTGAGAAGAGTGAAAAAACTGGGTTTGGTTCCAAGATTTGTAGCTCACAAACTAGTAGTGACTTTGGGCAAATTCACTTCATTTTTTAGGGCCTAAATTTCCTCGTGCAATAATGATAAGACTGGACTGGTTCGTTCCAAGGCACACAGACCGTGCTCCCCCTGCCACTGGGGAGCGGTTCTGTCCTGGACCTGCCCCACGCCAAGCACTCCTGCTCCGGCGGCTGCGCCTGGCCCAACGCTGCCGCTGCCCGCCCTCCTCGGACGGTCTCCCTTCTCAGCTTGTCTCATTCCACATTGTCCCTCCCTGTGTGTTCTCCTTGGGGTAGATGATCCTGAATTATGACCAATGGCTCTGATTTTTCTCTTTTGTAACTGGATAGCTCCAAATGGATGCCAAGCTGCCAATGCAAACCCAGGGGCTCCAGAGCGGAAGTCACAGACCATCTTCTCCTCCAAAGGGGTCCTCCCCATTCCCAGCTGCCCTGTTCCCACCCGTGACACCAGCGGTACCCTCATTTTGTTAGTGACTCAATTCTGGAAGACCTGGCAAGGAGGAGAGAAGGGCAGGAGGAAATGTTAATGCCAGCCCACTGGGAAGCCAGGCTGTGTGGCTCAGAGGGGCCACCCCTCTCACCCAAAGATGCTTTCTGCATCCCTCTGAATCTGAGGGAGTCTAACAGCCTCAGGTAAGAGTGCCGAGTGTCTTTTCAGCACCAGGCACTCTGCCAGATGCTTTATGTGTGTGCTATTTCTAGACCTTCACAACAACCCTCTGGGGTAAAAATCCCTGAGCCCTGAGAAGTAACTCGCCTTAGGTCACCAGCAGTGAGTGGTGACATGAGATGCAAACTCAGGTCTCGTGGCGACTTCCGCTCAGCCGCGCTGCCGACAGTCCTGCCTTCTCTAGAGAGAACTTGCCTGTCGCCTGTGCCCTCACCTGCCCTGCTGCCTGACCGCTGGCAAGGGGTTCTCTCCTCATACAGGCAACGATGGCACAGGCTCATGTGTCCATTTGTCACTTTGGAAAACTCACTGGCCGCAGCTGTGGCAATTGGGGAGACATCTGACGGCCTTTTCGGTTCTAAGTGCCAATTTATCAAAAATACTCCAGTCCCAGAGACATGCCTATGATCTAAGTTACAATGAAGTAACTCTGACTCTGAATCTCTGACTGCAGGTCCCTTAGCTGGCCAAGGTCATACCTGTGCAGGCTCCCTCAAGCCATCCGGCCAGGGATTACGAGAGACGTCCTTTGCTGTGCCCAAGTCTCACCGTGTGCCATGTCCTTTCTTCTCCCAGCTGCCCATCAGCCTGCAAGCTCTTTGCAAGGGCTGCGAGTACAAGGCCTTGGACAGAGCCGGCGGCAGATGCTAGGCTCAATGCTTTCACATTCCAACACCGTGAGGTGAAAGATCAACCACAGAAATATATATTTTTATTTTCCAAGAAGAGATATTTTTGTGTTCTACTTCTATAACTTTGTGTTCCAGAGATTGATTAGCCCTGAATAAGGGCTCAACAGTTTAGAACAGAAGAACTTCCCTGGAAGGCCCAGAACCCAACTCCTGGGGCAGCGCTTGGCCGAGAAAGGGGTAGAGGTGAAGGCAGGAGGCTGCGGGAGCACGCCTGGGGCCCCTGCAGAAACAGAAGTCTCCTGGAATCCCAGCCTCTGTCCAGACCAGCGCTCAGAGAGGGAACACTATTTTCCCACTGGGCTGCCAAGCAACCTAACAGGTGTTTGCTTAAACAGGGACCGGGAGGAGGGAGCCTTGGCATTTGCACAAGCTCAAGATAAGGCTAGGACCACATTGGACCCAGCTGGAATTCAGGTGTGATCTGGGGGAGGTGGGAGCTCGGATTCCATGCTTCAGGTGGTGGAGACGCAGATGTGTTTTAAGCAAGGAGTAGCACGACACATTGGGTTTGGAAAGCAAACCCAAGCAGCAGCATGGGGAAGGGGCAGAGGATTTCTAACCCATCAGAACCTGCAGTGTCCTCTGTGAATGACAAAGAGGCCTGACCCAGGGCAGTGGCAGTTTAGAGGGAAAGGGAGGAGTGAAGAAGATGCCGACAGGGTCTCCCCATGAGTAGAGGGAAGGAGAGGTGAGGCTGAGTTGGGGATACAGGCAGGTCTCTGCTCTGGGGGACTGGATGAGAAAAGGTGCCATTCCTGAGGAAGGCCAAGAAAGCTGAAGAGTACATGTCTGAAGTGCCTAGGGGACACCCAGACGGATGTTATGGCAGTGACTGCTATACTGTACTCTTCTACAGTTATGGGATACCAAGAGATTTTGCTCATGACCTCTTGGAATAAAGACCAATGTTCCCAGTCTCCATTGTGGTTAGGTGTGGTCCTGGGTCAAAGTTCTAGACAATGGAGGTAAGTGAAAGTAGCGTGTACAACTTCTAGGCATGGTCCTTAAAGAGCTTATTTTCTTCTTCCTTTTTCTCCCTCTTGCTAACTGGAATACAGATGTGATGGTTAGAGCTAGAGCAATCACATTGGACCATACAAGCATGAGCCACATGCTAAGGGTGGCAGAACCACAAGATAGAAGAGATCTGGAGGGAGGTGCATGGACATGCCCTGGCCACCTGCATTTACACATCCACCTTGTTTAAGCCACTATTGATTTGCATTTGTCTTTCATGGCCCAAACCAAGTCCACCAATGCAGACGTCCAGGAGGGCCTGGGGCTGAGGATAGATTCGGTAGTCATCCATATTAAAAGGCCTCCTGGATGAGGGACTGGGCTTCTGTCTGTTCTCTGTGGAGGCAGGTCTAACACAGCCCTTCTGTGTCCTCACAGCCCATGGAGGTGAGGGACAGACATCGTCCCACTTCCTCCGCCCCGTGCCAAGCTCTGTTTCCTGGGCCTGGGCTGGTCGGCTGCACGGCCATAACAGGGACGCGGGGCACCTTCCGGGCTAAGCAGGAGTCTAGAGGGAGGATTTGAGGATACTGCCTTTCCAAACAGTAAATTATAAACAGGGAAATAAAAATTTAAACACCACTCAAACGTTACCCTGGAACTTCCTCGGTAGAGACGGCAAAGCTGATCAAATGCTTGGATTTGCTGTGGATCCAGAACAGGTTCTGAGGCTGCCTGAGAAATCAAAAACAGTAAGATTAATGACACCATGTCGCCGGGTCCATGGCAGTCTCTGGACTTGCCCCACGCTTGTGATGGAGTAGGATGCGCTGCTTCCCTCCTTCTCCTGAATCCATGCCAGCAGCAGGGAGTGAAAGAGACTGAGCATACACTAGACATGGGCATGTCCCTCTACACTCCTTCCTGGTGCTGCCCTAGGTTGACCTATCTATGGTCCCTTCCCCAATGTGATGTCTAAATTTCCCATTCCTTTTTTTTTTTTTTTTTAATTTCCCATTCTTAAGAGCTTTCTTGAGGGCTTTTTGATTTCTCTTTGCCATTACCATGCAGAGCACTTTAGTTCCATCTAGCCCTGCATTCCCATATCCATCACTTCATATGGCCAGGATACCCCTTTGCTCCCCATATAGCAGGGGATGCTTTATAAACAAAATATCACGTCCCTTCTCTGTGTCATTATAAAGCTGGTAGCCCCTATGGGGTTGCAAGATTAGTCTTCTGATTTTTGGAAGAGTTGGGAAGTCTAACTTGCTCTAGACAAAACTAGACTAGCAGTCTTGTTTTGTTCCACCTGTTACTGTGGTGGAAATGCTGACACTGCGACAGTGGATCTGACCCAATTCATACCTGGAGAGAGGAAATGGGATGCTGAAGGACACAGACAGAGGCTTTGGAGTCAGAGGTGAATCTGACTACTAGTTCTGCCATTAGCCTGCTGTGTGACTTCAGGCAAGTCACTTCATTTCTCTGAGCTTCAACTGCCTCACCTGGGAGAGGGGGTAATGCTTACCTTATGAAGTTACTGAAAAGATGAGATATTAATATCTATTTAAAGTATCTTTAGCCTGCCTGGCACCAGGCAAGGGCTCAGTATATGCTAGCTTTTATTTCTCCAATTTAGAGATACTAATTTAGTTAAAACCTGGTTTCAGAAGTGTTATGTCCATGTATAAGACTAGTAAAAAGATGTCTTTCTTTGCCCTGTATTATGAACTCTCTTGGCATGCACAAAGAGGATTGCCGAATACAGTCCCCACGTATGTGACAAGGGTTTCGGTGACGAAGGATCTGGCTGTGGACACGCACACTCGTCTACCTGGGCTGGGTGAGGCCTGTGGGTTGAGGGCGTATAAGAGGGGGTCTGAAGACTGGTGCTGGGTACAGGCAAGTCCTTGCAGGAGTGGCCACCAGAACTGTGATGAAAACCAATGTCTGTGATGGGATGTGGAAGAAATTCAGTAGTAGAGTGACAGAGTAGATGCACAGAAGAGACACAGGGCAAATAACATCACTAATAACAGTTCTACAGATTCAACATTACTATGTGCTAAGTGTTTGCCAAGGGTCTCACTAAATCTTCAAAACCACTCCATGAGAAAGACGTTGTTCTGTCCACTATTTCCCAAGATGAGTGTGCAGGGGTGGCACTGAGCCCTGGGACTGCCACGATCTTGTTCCTCCTCTAGGCCCTTAAACTCCTTGGAGATGCCAAGCAAGAGAGGGGGCTTTCTGACAATGACATCCTTCTGAAACTGAAAAATGTGGTTATTCCATGGGTGTGAAATAACTGAAGATAACAGGTTCTTTCGTATAACAGAAGCCATCACCCTGGGGACCCAGAGATTGACCTCAGGAGTAACTGCTGGGGCTGCCCTGGAGCCCTCTGGAGGCGAAGTCACTGCAGGACAGAGACAGCCCATCCCTGGCCCGAGCCACGCATGCCTCTGTGGGAAGGTGCCTGCAGACGAGTCATCTGAGGTGAAAGGAGAGAGCTATTTGCAGGTGCACCTAGTAGAGGCTCACCTGCCTAAAAATCCTTCCTGGAATAAGAGTATTTTTAAACTGGAAGCATTCAGGGGATGACTCATACAGCACCAAGGTAAGGATTTCCATCCTCATCTTCACGGTTCTATGGGCTGGAAAGCTGAGGCGGGGGCAACAGTGCAGGGAAAGGCTGCGAGTCCCAGAAGGCCCAGCGAGCCGGCCTAGGCCGGGCCTGCGCAGGCTTCGGACACGCTCACTGACTCCTGCCTGTCACCGTTGTGCCCCATGAACTGGGATTCAGTTCTGTGGTTCAACAGACATTTCTGGAGCCCCCACTGTATCAGGCCTTGGAGTGCAAAGATGAATAAGCCAAGAGGAGTTTAATGTCTCGCAGATTCTGGGGCATTAAAACCCCACAAAAAGATTTGACCATCTCCAGTATTGATAACCAAACTTAAGAGGTTACTGAGGAGTAATAACGACATACTGCACACTTGTCAGGGTACGCCCTTGTTTGAAATATGCTCTCACATTATCTACATTAACCATCAAAATGTCCCCGAAATTACAACATTTTGGGGTGCAATCATCCTCTTCCACATGACAAGACACAAAGCCTCTGCTCTGGCCCCCTCTCTAGGACACCTGCGCAGAGTGCTGGTCTCCATGATACACGGTTTGCGTGAACCTTGTTCTAATGTGGCTAAAGAAATGGAAAGAAAGGAATCGAAGCACAGTGCACAGGCAAAACGGTAGAGAAAGAGGTGGGGGAATGTTGCAGGAGGATGAAGTGGGGAGAGTGAAAGGGAAAGCTTCATGAGAATGAGAGCTCCCTAAGGCCAGCGCCCTGTCTGTCTTGCTCACCAGTGCCCAGAGCTGTTCCTGGCACGGAGCAGTCATAGGATCATTATCTGCTGATTGAATGGGTGAAGGGATGGGGATGGCAAGAGAACAGATTTTCCTCTTACTGCTTCCCTGGAGTTCGGAAACCCTCTGCAATGCAGGGGGAGCACAGGGCGGGGCTTCTGACAGAGCCGGGCTCAGTCCAGATTCTGCTCACGACTGGCGAGTGGCTCTGGGCAAGTGATTTAGCCTCTCTTAGTCTCGGTTTCTTTATCTGTAAAATTCTATTTTGCAGAATTGTTGTGAGAATTAGAGATAATGTATAGGCCTGCCGCATTTGATGTTTAGAAAATGGCCATGACTACTGCAAATTGTGTTGTTTGTACTCCCCGAGAGAAATGTCCGGTAGAAAGAACAGTGGGCTGAGAATCAGGAGACTTGAGCTCTAACCCTGTCACCAGCTCCCTGTATAACCTGAGCAGGTCACACCTCTGCTCTGGGTCTATGTTTCAATTTATTAAAGGGTAATGCCATCTTGGGCAACACTCCACCATCTGGAAAAGATGCAGGCACTATAAGATAACAGGCATTTAGGGCACTAAGTTTCAAGTAAAATAGTAATGTTTACTGAAGCTAATCATGGCTTTTATTGCATAATCAGAAGCAAACTAAGGCAATCAAGTAGAGGCAATGTCACAAAGACTCACTATAGCCCTGAAGAGAAATAATAGTTGCAGTCTACAGACGGCGTGCAGAGAAATTCATTTGCCAAATCAGTGTCACACAAAAAGTAATGGGGGAGCAACAACATTTGAACACAATCTCAGTCCAAATCCATAAACATAAAACATCCTTCTCACAACACCCAGAGTATCTAACCCCCAGCACAGAATTGATTAGGAGTGATTTTCCAATTGGAAGAGAATGAAAAATGCATTTGATGCTATCTGCTAGAGCAAATTTCTTTCTTCCTTATAATGAAGTCCAGTGATAAGAGCTAAAAATTAAACTGTAGCTGAACATTAGAGGAAGAAACAGTGACAGCCCTGGAAATGACCTTGTAACACTCAGCACTGAAGTAAATCCGGTGGAAAATGAGGTCCTGATGATCTGCAAGAGCCCCAGGGAGAGGGACGCTGGGCGAACATAGCACGCCAGCACATTTCAAAGCTCAGTGACTCACAGATGTGGTGGAAGTGAGAGCTGTAATTACATCCGCTGGAAGGAAGAAAGCAAACCTAGGCTTTCAGGATCCACAGACCTCTTACCCAAAGCATCAAGTTTCAACATAGGAAGACAGCCAGGATCCACTGCCACCCTGAAGGCTGGATTCCCCATAAGAGGGACAAAAATAATATAAGGGATGCTGGATATGAAGCCTTCCAAATCACAAACGAACCCATGGACAGTCTCATTCTTGGTTATTCTCTGCAGTAACTAAGGTCCTGAAATCAAAACCCCAACATTTGCTTTCCTAATTGTCTTCTCACTGAACACATGCGAAGGTCAAACCTCACTTGTGAGAGACACAGGACACTTGGTGTAATTCTGCAATGTGACCATCTGCCTTTTCCGTTTCTCAGGGGCTTTCTGCAGGCACTTGTGTGGTTTGCTGGGGGCAAGGGGGGCGAGGTGGAGTAGGATGAGTGGCACGAGCAGCACATCTCACGTCCCTGCCTGCCTGCCTGCGCCCTCACTGTCAAATCTCTTCCTGTGTCTGTTCCAGGTCTCAGCCGGACTTCTGCCACCACCTAAGCTGTTTTATACTAGAAGTCCTTAATGTTTAAAGGTTTTGCCTAAAATGAAACTTTGGCTTCAGAGATAAGAGCAAAGCCACGCCTCCTTCCCCTGTGCAAATGGAAAATACTGTTTCTAAAATTCTCCCCAACAACACGGTTTGCTTTCAGACTGAACCTGACCCCGCATACTCTCTCATTTCCCAACACCTATCTCCAAACTCTCAATGGGTCATAGCTCATAATGAGCTAGAGGGTGAAATAATAAAATAGGCAGATGAGTTGCTAAGCTGCCCAGAGAAAGGAGGAAAAATCTGGCAGAACGTCTCTGAAGGAGAGTCATTTAGATACTTAATCAGAGCTCTAGAATGACCGGAGCTAAAGGGAGTGAGTGCTTGAGGCTGGAGATTGAGGCTGTGAAAGGCTAAGTGAAAAATATCTGTAAAAGCCCAAGACCTTCAATGGCACAATTATAAAGAAACAGCACAGTTACCCTTTGGACAGCGGCAGGGGGGAAATGCTGGCTTAAGTCTTCTAGGACACGAAAAGGAGGCTTCACCGCCGCCACCACCACAGCTCACTTGATTGGGCACGTGACTGTGTGCCAGCTACCACTGCAAGCACTTTACATGTGTCACCTCATTTAATCATCTCAAGGTCCCTAGGAGGAAGGTGTTTTTGTTATCATTATTTCACAGCTGAAGAAACTAACATTCCGGGGTCCAGTGATGTGCCGAAGGTCCAGTTCCAGAGATTTCTTTCACCTGCCATGCTGTCAGTATCAGTCTGGAAGAAGCCTGACAGAAAGTCATGTTCAAGGGACCCAAAAGGTTGTGTCAGGAGCAGAGTAGGACTCACCTGGGTCAAATGCCTAAATCATGCTCTTGTAACACTGGTGGCCTCTGACCTCCTTCTGGGGGTCCTTCATCATTTGGCTTTCTTTAAGTTCAAAGGCATCCCATCAGGCCTCTAAGCTATAAACAAAAGGCCCAGGAAAGAAAGCGAGCAGCTGCTGGAAATAACTACAGCTGTTAGTGTTCTGCTCAAAACTGACTCTGGAAGGCTGGGCCAGAGCCCAGTGTTAAGAACTAAGCTCAGTTCTGAGTGAGACACCTCACATACGACGTAAAGACAGCTTTGTGTACACACTAGGTGCACACAAATGCCTTCTGCCATCACAGAAAAAACTCTGAACTTGGCTCCGACACTAATTAGCCACACTAATTCGTTGTGTAGATATCCCTGATGTCAGCTGTCTCATCTATAAAAGGGAGAAAATATCTGTGCAGCCTAACTCACAAGGCTCTTGTGAGGGAAGGGGGATGGGAAGGCGAGTGGTGACAACACATTTCCTATTGTCCATTTGTCTCTGGCCTTATGCTACTTTTGAGTTTAACACGTACATTAGCTCAATGAGGCACAATGTATTGTCTGCAATTTACATGTGAGGAAACTGAGGTTCAGACATGTTAAAATATAGTTTGTAAGAGACAGTGTGGCTCTTGATAACAGGTCTGACTCTAGAGCCCACTACACCATGTTTGTGACAAACATAAGGTGCTATAAATGTGCCAGGTACTGTGGGCTTCCCACGGACAAGCTGAGCTGCCTTGTCTGTTGGGAGGCTGATGCTGCGTCTGCGTGAACATCCTACCAGGATCCTCTGTGCTGCCATCCAGACAGCTAGCACCACACAAAAGATGTGTCATTACATAAGGGAACACAAGTATTTTTCTTGTTAGGTTTTGTCCATCCATGTTGTGCCCTTGCAAAAAGAAATGTCCCCATATTGATTTAAAGTCACTGAAACCCATATACTGTACCTGCACGTGGTTGGCTACTCCAACGTGCTTTGAAAGGCAATGTGGGGAAAATCTTTGGTGGCAAAAGCTGACAATCTCATTATGCCTAGAAGAATGAATTTTAAAAAATAAAAATAAAAACTGCAGAATGTAGTCTGAATTTTTACATAACTAGTGTAGTTCCTTGGTCAAATTCATTAAAACCCTCCTATTCTCTTGACAGGGATTATTATTATTAGAAAAGGTTGGTATCTTAGTGTAATTGCTTCCCAGGCATGGGAAGCTCAAACGCCCAAACAGATTAAAAAATAATTGCTTTATGTTGCTCCCGCAATGTAATGGAGGCAATTATCCAGAGATGTCAGGACAGAGATTAGGACGGCTGTAAACAGAAATGAAAATGACAGCACTGGGACATGAGACGGACGGCAGTGAGGCTGGGCCCCTCAGTCTCGTTCCTTCCTGGGGGCACTCTCCCATGCAAACTTGAGTCTTGCTTTGCCGCATGGTATACTGTGGCCATTCCGTGGTTGCTTTTTTTTTTTTGTCAGGAAAGGAAGATAAAAAAAAAAAAAAAAGAACCCAGAAAGATTTATTTTTATGGGAAGCAGAGTTACAAAGAAAGCTTCTTAGTAGGATGGCATCTTTCTTTTGCTTGTTAGAAACCTCCCTTTGTTTTATCACAGGCCAAGCGTTTGGCCTTATTTAAAAAAAAAATGAAAACAGGAAAAGCATTCATTTCACATATGTAATTAAGGCTTGCCGTCTTTCGATTATCTAACTCACTGTTGCTTGCTTAAGAAGAAAGTCAAACAACTATCTTGACTGATACTGCTGAGGGGCAGGGTCCTTAATGATTTTTCAGTCAAAGCCACGATTGCTGAAATATTTTCAGCTCTCGTATTCCCGCCCATCTTAAGTAGATAGATAGACCTAAAAATGATAACCTCATAAAAAGAGGAACACAGAATCCACTAGAAGAGCAGGTTTAACCCTGAAGTTAGCAAAACCCAATATAAGTTAACAATGTAATTACAAACCAAAGGAAAAAGAATACTGATGCTTATGGTTGTACTGTAGTTAATTTAGACAGCAATTTGCTATCTGAAAGAAAGAAAAACTTTCAGACCATTTCTCTCTGTAGGACTTGGTTGTTATAAGGAAGAGGCAGGAAGTAAAGTGAAGTGAGAAATGTAAACAGAGTGAAATAAATATATTAAACAATTATTTATTATACCCAAAAAGAGCCCACAAAACTAAAGCCTTCCAAGTATTTGCCATGATAAAATGATAGCAGTGGACTAAACTAGCTCTCCCACCCTACGTAGATATAATATTGGACAAAATCCTAAGTAGATATAACATCGGACAAAATATATATAGTATTTGCCATGATAAAATGATAGCAGTGGACTAAACTAGCTCTCCTACCCTAAGTAGATACAAGACTGGACAAATTCCTAAGTAGATATAATACTGGACAAAATACATACAGTATTTGCCATGATAAAATGATAGCAGTGGACTAAACTAGTTCTCACACCCTAAGTAGATATAACATTGGAAAAAATCCTAAGTAGATATAATATTGGACAAAGTCCTAAGTAGATATAATATTGGACAAAGACAGAGCAGGTCTATGATCCTTGAAAGTAGGGGAATACACAAAGTCCCTGGATTTCCCTGGAATTCTGGAAGTACTCTCTGGACTGTGGAACATGGAGAGCCTGGAAGTCTTGCTAAACTGAGGAATTAGAGATTAGGAGTTTGGGGCTGGGCAGGGGGTAGCATTTGAAGAGGAGGAAGCTGAGTTGGGAGTAGCTCTAGGACTCTCTTTAGGGGCCCTCTTCAGTTTCTGGCCTTAAGCTGCACATACGCAGGCAAGACTCAGGCCTGGCAGAGAACAGCAACTGCAAGCTGTGAGACAGACAGATTCTGGAGGTTGCAAAGTGCTGGAAGACCTGGGAGGACCAGCAGTGATGGTAAAAAGACCTTCACAAACAGCCTGGTATCCAATGAGACCCCAAAAAAGCCAGGTGCTGGAAACAAAGATATTCTGGATCTCCCCTAACAAAACTTAAAAATAAGCCTCAAAAATATGTAGCTGATTTAGCAGTAATTAATAGCCTGCCTGCCAGAACAAACCCCAAAAGTCTCTAAAGGAAGACAACAAAATCCAGATGCTCAACAATATAGAGTGGGGCCTCTCCTTTAAGGATATGCTATATCTGGAATAATATCTACCATCAGTAGATATTTCACTACAAAGCCAGGGAGCTTAGCCAGGTGTGGTGGCACATGCTTGTAATCTCAGCTACTTGGGAGGCTGAGGTGTGAAGATCATTTGAGCCCTGGAGTTCGACACCAGACTGGGTGACACAGCAAGACCCTGTCTCATTGATTGATTGATTGATTCATTCATTCATAAATAAATAAATAAGAAAACCAGGGAGCTAAAACTTACTCATTCCATAATAGAAGAATCAATATAAATCATAACTGGAGTGCCCCTACGATATTTGTAGAAAACAACAAAACACAAAAGTCCCAAGGCATTGACTTTTGTCAGACAGAACAGACTGTACCAAGCACCAGTCCACATTTCATGCTCATCTTCTCTTCTTTTCCTTCCACTTTAGCCAAAGGAGTTTCTCACTGTTTCCTGCACAAACCCAATCCAATGTCCTGATACTATGTGAAATAGTGTGAGCTTTCGGGGGCAGAACAATAATTGATTTGGGACAATGGGCCAGACAGAAGGACATACTCTGCAGTAGCAGCACATCAGCCACCCGAGAACACCACACACATTAGAGCAGCTCAAACTCTGCAAAGCTCTCTTTGGATTCCATGACCTTTACAAATAGGTGATAATTCAGCACACTGCAATTAAGAATGGCCTACTGAGTTGTTTCAATGCACAATAACAGGCTGCTAGTGGCTCTGTCACATACACACTGAAGAGAAAAAAGATAACTGCCATGTATTGTGGGAAGTGTCTAAAAGCTCTGTCAGGAAACATTGCTGGAGGAGAAAAGCTCATTTGTAAGCTTGATGAATAGTCTCAACTGTAGGGTCCAAATTCCAAGAAGATGGTAGTCACAATGGCACTACTTGTTTTGATAAGGGAGCTCACTACCACATGATGAGAGGGTGTAGGATTGTATAAAGAGCCACCATGGGCAACAAGCTGGTCTCACACACAGCCCCACTATGAGAGACTCATAGGATAATCTGAACAAAAACAGTCAACTGCTTATGAAGAGGTGTCATATTAAGAAGCAGAAAAATCACACCCATTAGCTTTCAATTGTCTTAGTTTGGTGAATAATCAATGATGCTACCTAAGTCATTGATGATGAGCTACAAGGCTCAATCCTTGGCTTTGTTCTATACAAATATTTTATCCATGACTTGGATAAAGATAAAAGAGGGCAATGCATGGGACAAAAAACCATGATTCTCAAATGTCATAAACTGAAACAACATAAGGGAAGTCTTGCACTTGGCTCCAGAAACCAAGAGAATGTACATCAGCAGCATGTGTGAACAGAATCAGGAGTTTAATATCAATATGTTCATTGTGAATCAACCATGCAAAATGGCTGCTAAAAAAGTTAATATGATTTTGTTCTATTTATAGAAACAGAATCTAGAATAAGGAAGGTTATGATCTCATGTTGTTCTAAAATGACCTCACCTGAAGTACAATGGTAGTAATCAAAGAGAGGTGGTGTGACAGGGATTTTCAGCACACAGCCCGTGAGTAGCTGGGATGGAGAAGATGGGGGTAGAGAAGATGGGGGACCTGTGAATGTTCTGCCTAGATGAGAGATACCAGGACTAGGATTCATGATTTCAACTACATGAAGGACTGGAAAGGCTGCTCTATAAAGGAGGTATTAAACATCTTTCTGGTAGCTTCTAGATGAAAGACAGGATCAATGGGTAGAGACGTGTCACCACCATAAGGAAGAACTATCTTAAAGCTTCCAAACATGGAACATCTTGCCTCAGGAGATAGTTTATTAGGCACATGCAGGATACTGCTTGTTAAAAATGGACAAGAGGCTGACTTCCAGTATGACAGCAATGAGGAGCTCTGCTATGGTTGGGATGTTGTCCTCTCCAAATCTCATGTTGAAATGTGATCCCAATGTTGGAGGCAAGGCCTAATGGGAGGTGTTTGGGTCAAGGGACTGGATCATTCATGACTAGATTAATGGCCTCCTTTGGGTAGAGGGTACGTTCTTACTCTATTAGTTCCTATGACAGCAGAGACTAATTGTTGTTAAAAAAAGCTTAGTACCTCCCTCCCCTCTTTTTTGCTTCTTCTCTTGCCATATGATCTCCGCACATGCTAGCTCCCCTTTGCCTTCTGCAATGAGCGGAAGCAGCCTAAAACCTCACCAGAAGCAGATGCTGATGACATGCTTTGTGTACAGCCTGCAAAACCATGAGCCAAATAAACCTCTTTTCTATATAAAATTTTCATCCTCAGGTATTCCTTTATAGCAACACAAACAGACTAAGACAAGCTCCAAATGAAAACTGGTAAATACTATTAAAAAAAAAAACCCAAGCATTTAAAGATTCTGGAAATGGTCTTAAGGACAAACAGCAAATGAAGAAACTATCCAAAAAATCTATGAAAATTTGGTAAGAAAGGTGAGTGTCTATGGTGTTTGAACCAAGACTGCTCCTTTCTCCACCATATCAACTCCACTCCAGACTGCTGAAGCCCAAAACAGTAGTCTCCCTCTTTCCCATGATCCCATTTGGAGGGTTTTCTCCCAAGTAGGAGCAGAACTTCAGCATTTCTCCTCCTACCTTTAGCTATGTGTTACTGAGGCCAAGTCCTAGATGAGTGCAGTCAAGAAGTGATGGGGGCTCCCTTCTTCTGGCAGCCTCCACTCATGGAATGAAAGCTCTACTTTGGGGGCTATGTGCTGAAAATCCCAGGCCTCTGGTCACTCTGCCCCTGGCTATGGGGCAATGGTTCCACACCAGGAGAGGCAGGCCAAGAGGACCTCAGGCTGCTGTTCCTACCCTCTTCCAACAGCATTCAGCTCCTAGAGTGTGGGGGGTACAATCGGTCCCTATCTCCAGCTCAAGAGCCTTGGCTCAGAGATTTTTCCTTGAGAGAGAAGCCAGACATAAGATAAATAGCTCCTAATCTCTTCCCAAAGGAACTGACTTTATTTACAACTGAGCCTGGAGAAGTTCAAAACCTAAATGTGTTCTTAAGAACAGTGGAGGTAGTGGTGAAAGGCAGCTGAGAGAAGATTCATAGACTTAATGAAGGCACAACCTAGCTAGGGGTGGGGAACCTGCTTAAGTAGCCTTAAGGCTACCCCTTAAGGCAGCAGGTTTCCCATGCCTGACAGACTGCAGGCTTCTGCTTTGCAGAAGAGAACTGAGGAAAAAGACAACTGGGAGGAATCCTCATGAGGGCAGAAGAAATATCAAAAAACAGATGTAAGAAACTATTATGTAAAAGGAACCACAACTTGACTGGATTGGTTTATAGAGCAATTTCTGCTTTATAGCACTGATGGGAACAATAGAGCAATCAGCAAAGGCAATTAGTGGAATTCAACAGCTGAGTGTGGTCAGATAAAAACAGAGAGCCAAGCCAAAACCACTGTCATGCCAGGGGGACTGTAGGCATACCTAAGGCTGAATCACCCTGAGGAGCAATATCAGAGGCTTAACAAAATGTGGAGGAAAATAGACTTCACTAAACTCATCCAGCCAGTCACTAAAAATTAAAGAAGCAAATAACAATAAGAAGCCCTGGGGACAGGGGACCAGTACACAAAGTATACATTATATTACCTAATATGTCCAGTTTTTATTAAAAAATTATGAGGCATGAAAAGAAATAGGAAAGTATGACCAAACCCTAAAAAAAAATCAGGTAGCACAAACTGTCTATAAGACTAACCAGATGTTAGATATAATAGAAAAACAATTCAAAATGGCCATTATAAATATGTTCACAGAACTAAAGGAAAGCATGATTTAAAAAGTAAAGGCAGAGCTGAGTGACAATGAGACCCTGTCTCTAAAATAAAATAAAAGTAGAGGCAGTATAAAGATAATTGTTACATCAACTATAGAGTTTTAATAAAAACATAAAAATTATAAAAAAGAACCAAATGAAAATTCTGGAGTTGAGAACTACAACAACTGAAATAAAAAAATTCACTAGAAAGGCTCAACAGTAGATTTGAACTGGCAAAAGAAAGAATTAGTGAAATTGAAGACAGAGATTATGCAAGCTGAAGAACAGAAAAAAAAAAAAGAATAAAAAGAATGAACCTCAGAGAAATGTAAGGCATCATCAGCACAACATAATGCATAAATGAGTACTGGAAAAGGATAGAGAGAAAAGATAAGAAAAAATATTTGAAGAAATTATGGTAGAAAACATCCTAGATTTATTGAAAAATACACATTCAGGAAACTCAACAAACTCTAAATAAGATAACAAAGAGAGCCACAAATGGATACATTATAATAAAAATGCTGAAAGTCAAAGACAATGTGAATATCTTGAAAGCAGCAAAAGAAAAATGACTAGTCACTTACAAAGAACCTCAATATGGTTAACAGCAAAACAATGGTGGCCAGAAGGCAGTGGGATAACATATTTGAAATGCTCAAAGAAAAAAAAATCCTGTCAACCAAGAATCCTATGTCCAGCAAAGCTATCTTCAAAAATGAAGGTGAAATAAAGACTTTCCCAGATAAACAAAAACTGAGAGAATTTGTTCCTTGCAGTCTTATCTTCTAACAACTACTAATGGAAGTCCTTTAGCATGAAATCAATTGACTACAGAAGATAATTCAAACCCACATAAAAAAAAAATAAGGAGAATTAGAAAAAGTAATTATGTAAATTACATAAAATACAGTATAAATACATATTTCCCTCCTTTCTTCTAATAACTGATTTTAAAAAGCAATTTTATAAAATTTCAATAATGTATATATAATGGAATGTTGGGCCTATAATACATAGAAATGTAATATATGTGTAACATCTTTGCACAAAGAAGATGGGTGGAACTAAGAAAATGACTTCAGATGGTAAAGTAATAATTACAACAATGTATTGTTGGGTTTGTAACAGTAATAGATGTACTATATATAACAATGCCACAAAAAGGGGGGAAAGGAGAATAGAGCTATATAAGAATAATGTTTCTATATATAATTGGAACTAAGCTAGTTTAAATAAGAAGCTGCATCTGAAAAGCTAAGATGCATATGGTAAGCTCTAGCATATCACTAAAAAAAGAAGACAAAAAAACTAACACAAGCACCTAAAAAATGGAAAAATCATTAATTATTAAAGACCTCATCAAAAAAGATACACAGATGGAGAATATGCATATGAAAAGATACTCAATATCCTGTATCATTAGGGTATTGCAAATTTAAAAAGTGAGATACCACTACACACCTATTAGGATGACTAAAATCCAAAACACTAACACCAAATGCTGGTAAGGTTGGGAAGCAACAGGAACTCTCATCATTGCTGGTGGGAATGCAAGATGATACGCTACTCTGAAAGACAGTTTGTGAATTTCAAAAATCTAAATGTCAGTCTTACCATTCAATCCAGCAATCGTGCTCCTAGGTATTTACACGAATGAGCTGAAACTTATGCCCATTAAAAACCTACACATGGATATTTACTGCAGCTTTATTCACAATTGCCATAGGTGGAGCACAGGGATTTTGGGGGCAGCAAAACATTGATTAGAACCAACAAAAAAAGAGTGAACCTGAGTGTAAATCATGGATTTTAGTTAATAATAATGTTTTAATATTGGCTCATCAATTGTTACAAATGTGCCAGATCAATGCAAGATGTTAACAACAGGGGAAACTGTGGGCGTGGGACAGGGAAAAGAAATATATGGGGACTCTGTACTTTCTGCTTAACTTTTCTATAAACCTAAAGTTACTGTATTCTAAAAAATATAGTCTATTAATTTAAAAAATCATTAAAGAAATCAAAATCCTTATTAACTGGAAACTGAATTTTAGTTAAGCCTCTCTCCTTCCCCCAAGCCCCTGAACTCTGATCCACCCTCAGCCAGAGCCAGAGCACACAGTCCCTCCTTAATGGCTCCATGTGAGAATTGGCTGACCACACAGAAAGACATTCCCGATCAACTGTCTGACCCCTCCACCCACACTTATTTTCTACCTTGTTAACTCTCCCTCTTCACAAAAGAAATTTCCTTTCTGCCTGAGCTTTGAGACCCTTGTAGATCTTAAGATTGGTGTGTTCTCCCAATTGCAATAGTCCCCTTCCCTCTATTGCAATAAATCTCCTCAATAAAGTCTCTCCTTACATAAGTCTAGATTGGTTTTTCTTTGATAGACAACATCTATTAATTCAGTTTGGATGTTAGGGTCTAACTACAATCACCCAGCACATCAGCGAACATGCACCTTGTCTGAGGTTAATACAACTGCAGACTCATAAGATGTCAATGCTCCAAGGGATCTGAAAATCAACCAGTCCAACCTCTCACCCATCATAGGGGCTTTGGGCAACAGACATCGTGTCACTGATCAAATGATTCACTGTCACCACTGTTATAAAATTCTCATACCAAGCTGACATCTCCATCTCCACAGTGGCTACTCACAGGCACCAGTTCTGCCCTTTCAACTATTAAGAATGCCTGTGCTCTCCAGATCACTGCCCTTTAGGTGTCTGAAGGCTAGACCCCCAACTTCTTTACATCAGCATAAAAAGGCACCTGGCTTGCTAAGATCTTCAATGCTGCCTATGCAAAAACAAAGATCAGATCATGTCATTTGTTTTCTTTTCTTTATTTTTTTTGATCGGTAGAGGCATTGAAATCACATTTGGATATGTCCTACCAAGGCAAATACTCTAAGACACATCTACATCTATCAAAGGCTATCACTTTGTTGATTATGGGGGCTGGCATCTTTACAGGAAAGAGTTTATATACTGTATATATTTATACAATAAGTATTTCAAATCTAGAGCTTTTGTAAAGGATATAATTCAAGATGCTTGTGAAAAGATACATGCTGTGGAATGTGCCACATACTCTGACACGTGGCCTCAGAGTGGAACAGTGACAGTCTGAAAAGTGACTTCTATGTGACACACCTAAAGAAGTCCCAAGAAGTTAGCAGAGCCTTACAGAACACGACTCCTGTTTCCTTACACTTGAATCCAGCTCTTGGCAGGGCCAATACTGACAGCAGAGTCACCAAACACTTCCTTCAGTTATCGGTCAACAGAGACTCTTTGGCTAAATCAAGAACACTACTGCTTCCGTTGTGTTTCTTACACATGTCACTTTGGCAGAGACTGTTCAGACACTATTGCTGCATCCATCTGTCACTGCGACTTTGGGAAGAGAGACTATAGCTAAGGAGGAAAACCAGAATATTTACACAGATATACACACCCAGACTATCATATACACACAAAAATATATACCTAACTAGGAAGTAATAATTAAGTGTTGAGTTTCATATTAATCTTCCTGTAAATCTCAGAGTAATGCTGATTCAGTAAGGAACTGATCATGCTGGAAATACAAGCCTGGGACAGCAATGATGTTTCATTTGTTTTTCCTGTAGGTATCTAGGCCAGAAACTTCTTTTTCCCCCTCACTTCCCTTACACAGTCACAAAGTCCCGTGGTATCTCTTTCATAAAGTGACTACTTTGTTCTACACTTAGGGACACAACAATAAACAAGACTGATGTGGTTCCTTCTCTCACGAGGCAATGGGAGATAGACATTAAGTAGAGAGGCAATCTCAACACATCAAGGTGAAGTGTAGGTAGGGACTAGTTCAGGGTGCGATGAAGGAAGGACACCTACTCAGACTTAGGAAGGGTGTCAGAAAGGTTTTCTTGGGGGAAAATAGCTAAGATTTGAATCTATCTCATATCTTCAGTCCATTAACATAGCCTAGAGTTAGGACCTTTTTTCTTGTCTGGACAACCGTCTTATTCTTCTTTGTCTTTCTACCTTTAATCTTACCTTTGATGGAAACCCTTATCTTTAAGATAAAAAGAAAACTTCACAGACTAGGGCTCTTTGTGATCTGGACCTCCATTTGTTTTTCACCAGACTTCGCCATGCCTTCATATTTAAGACATACAGAACCACACCCACTTCCTAAAATGTGCTGTAGTCACCCGTGTCTGCCCCGGATACCTTTTCCCTTACCTTTCAAGGCTAGATCAAGCTTTACTTGCTCTAAGAAGCCTTCCCAGACTCCATGGTTTGGGATGGCCACCTGCTATGATACATATTTTAAAGTGACTATATATACTATAAATCATATGCTAATAAGTCTGTGCTATTGAGTTTGGGCTTCAACTCAGGGGTAGCCAGAGGCTCTAATTAAGAATTCCCATTTCATGAGTGGCCAGCTAACATGAACTCCCAAAAGCAGCTATTAAGAGTGCTTCAGCTGTTCATATTTTGACTAATACCTAAGACTTTGCTCATAAGCTCAAAAAGCAGAATTTTTATTGTTAAAAAAATTTTATTGGCTTGTTAATCAACATGGTGAGTATTGGAAATTACTGATAAAATAACAGGTATTCAAGATATAAAGGTTGGATAAAATATTTTAGAGATACTTCCAACTCTTGCACAAAGAGGAAGTCAGTCTACACCTGACCACTTAGGAATGCTACCTGGGGCCACTTGTGAAGTCACTGGCTAGGAAGTTTCTGTTTGCCTGATGTTGATTACAAGAGTAACAGAATCCTGCTTCTATAATGTTGCCACACCTCTGACAGAGGTCAGACACCTAAAATGACAAAGAGCCAGGACATTATCAAGTTTGAAAAAATAGGTTTCAAGAACCTATTCTAAATGAGTATTTATTTAATAAATGCTTTTGAAAGCATTTATTAAAGTTAATAAATAAAGAACTTTATTAAAGTTCAAAATGACTTTTGAAAGTCATTTCAAAACAGGGCCTTTCCTCAGTGCTCTCATAGCACCCTGTGCACCTTCCATGGCATGTGTCAAGTTTTATGGTAATTGTCAGTTTACCTGTCTACCCTTCCCAATAAATGCTGAGGCCTTTGAGAACAAGGATAGTAGTTTTCATCTCAGTAGTCCACTGCTTAGCTAAGAATCTAGTATAAAGAAATACAGTCATCCCTTGGTATCTGTGGGACCTTCTGTGGATATCAAAATCCAGATGCTCAAGTTTCTTGTATATAATGGTATAATATTTGCATATAACCCACACATATCCTCCTATATACTAAATAATCTTTAGATTACTTAAAATACCTAATGCAATATAAATGCTATGTAAATAGTTGTTATGCTGTATTTTTTAATTTGTATTTTTATTGTTGCATTGTTATTTTTATTTTTTAGTATTTTCAATCTGTGGTTGGTTGAATCCACAGATGAAGAACCCACAAATAAGAAGGGTCAACTGTACTTGCTGAATGGACATAAGTAGCATGATGAAGTGAGAGGACATCTGATTAAGAGTTATGACACCTGCATTTTAATACTAATGTCAACAACAGCTTGAGCACTTACTATGTGTCAAACCAGTGTTAGGCACTTAAACAGTATAGCATTTCATTTAATCTTCAGAACAATTCTGAGAGGTAGCATCACACAATTTTACACAGGAGGAAAAAGAGAGGTTAACTTATTCAAGGTCATCAGATAAATAAGTAGAAGAGTAAATCTCTGAACCCAAGTCTGGTTGTATCCAAAGCATATGTTTTTAATCACTATGTTAGAAGTGTGTCCCAAAGCTAACACTGGAGATCTTAGACAAAAGAAAAACAATTGCTTCTGGATTTCACTTTCCTCATTTATTTACTGAGGGAGACCAAAATGAGTTAGGCTCATTCCAGCTCCTCACGTTACAGTGTGATGGTTCTAAGTAGCAATAATCATGCCTCAGTCTTGCCTACCCTTGCTGCCTTAAAAAGAGTAAAAGAGATTTTCATGTGCAGCATGTTATAGGTCTTTTCAGACAACATATTTTGTTTTTATTCTATTCTCTTTTGAAAAAGTCTCAGGGAATTTTGAAACAGAGAAAAGGGGCCCATTTTTGTCACCTGCTGTTAGTCAACAGAGCCAGCAAGTAGTTATTTTTGTTCTACAATCCTTCACTGACATGGATGCTGGCTGAAATTGTTCAAAAGGGCAAGGAAAAAAAAAACTCCACTTCAACTATCAGAGAAAGAAAAATGGTAAAAGAAAACAAGCAAAAATATCAATCTGTTGACCGTGTTTCGACTGCACTATTGCAGCTGGATAAAGAAAAGGATTTTAGTGGTTCTCTTGACATCACCTAAGCATTGCTCAGGTGAAAGACTAATACCCTACCTGTGCCACAAAGTTAACGGCTGGGAACTGAAGTGGCACAGATGAGAGGTCTATTCTACCAGTATTTATGGAGGACCTTCTTATTTGGTATGTGCTGAAATGTTAGTATAACAGGCCAGTTACTTAGGCACAGCTCTGTAGAGGTAAAGCACTTAATAAGAAAAACTATATAGCTTTCCTTCTTAGAATATCTTTCATCTGCTACCACTCACTGATAACAGGATGCCATGTCTGGTATAGAAGATGGGAATTCTAGAACAATTCTAGAACACTGAATTCTAGAACACTGGGAATTCGTTAGTTGCCAGGAGACTGATGCTAAAACCCAACTTGGCTTCTCTGGAAGAGCCAAGGAGTCCTGCTGACATATCATTAAAATATCCAATCGGAAAGAATCTTTGGCAGCACTAAGATGATTAAAAATCACTTCCATTTTGAGAAAATTATTCAAGAGAGGAGAATAAACACACAGAAGGAAGAACTTTTTTTTTTGTCTTTAAAACTCACCTTCTTAGCTGTAGGATCCCCTTTGGACTGATGATATGAAGGAGACATTTTTACCTGGAAAAAAGGGCAAACATTTTAATATCCTTTCAGTTATGGTCTAGTTTTATTTGATCCACATTCAAAATAATTCAACTAGAATTGGTGTAACTGAGATAAAACAGATGTTTCAGAGAAACAATTAATAGATTTTGTGTTAAGTCTCCTTGAAATTTTTCTGGAGATCAAAAAATCAATAGTCAGCCAAGATAAAAATATGAATAGGGTAAGAAAAGTGGAACAGATGGTCCAAATTGGTTTTTAATGAAATGGTGAGGAACTAATAGATACAGATTTTTCGTGATAATTAACTGAAGTAATAAATAATGGTGAGCAATTCTTGCAGAAGGCAACTCAAAGCATCCATTGTGATGTAATATTCCTTTTAAGCAAAGCATGCACAGAAGAGTTTGATAGCAATAGTGAAGGATCTAGAAAAAGTATCAGCCAAATCGTAATAAAAGGATGTTTAGTCCAAGGAAGAAATGACTGATGGTACAGGTATATTTTCAAATCTCTGAAGATAGAGATTGTCAGATTAGATAAATGAGAAAGACCCCAATTGCATGCCACCTACAAGAAACACACTTTATTTATAAAGGCTCAAATAGTTTAAAAGGAAAAGGATGGGAAAAACTATACCATGACAGCACCATATTTTGGAGCAAAGACTATTACTAGGGACAAAGAAGGTTATTTCATAATAAGGAAGGGGTCACTTCATCAGGAGGACATAACAATTTGAAATGTCTATGCACCTGAAACTTAAAAATACATGGTATAAAAACTCATAGAACTGTAAGGAGAAATACATTTTATAGTCAGAGAGTTCCACACCCTTCTCTAAATAAATGAGGAAAAAAAATAGACAAATAAGTAGAAAGGATATGGAAGATTTACACAACATAATCAACTAATTTGATCAGATGGACATTGACAGAAAAATTCACCCAACAAAAGCAGAATATATATTCTTTTCAAGTGCACAGAGACTAGATCTCTGGAAAAATTCCCAAATACTTGGAAACTAAGTAACATATTTTCAAATAATCCACAGATCAAAGGAGAAATCAAAAGTAAATTATTCTCATTTTGTATTATTTATTTTTTTTTTAGAAACAGGGGCTTGCTCTGTTACCCAGATTTGAGTGCAGTGGAACAATCACAGCTGACTGCAACCTTGAATTCCTAAGCTCAAGCAATTCTTCTGTCTCAGCCTCCCTAGTAGCTGGGACTACAGGTGTGCAATACTATGCCTTGTTAATTTTTAATTTTTGTAAAGATGGGGTCTCGCTATGTTACCCAGACTGATATTGGCCTGGCCTCAAGTGATCCTCCTGCCTCAGCCTCCCAAAGTCCTGGGATTGTAGGAATGAGCCACTGTGCCCAGCCCAAAAGTATATTAGTTCCTAGAAACACACACCTACCAAAACTGAATTCTGAAGAAACACAAAATCTGAATAGTTGTGAAACTAGTAAGGAAATTGAATCAGTAATCAAAAATTGCCTAAAAAAGGAAAGCCCCTATAGGACTAGATGGTTTCATGGGTGAATTCTACCAAATATTTAAAGAACAATTAATGTCAATCATTGTCAAATTCTTTCAAATAATTGAAGAGGAGGAAACACTTCCTAACTCATTCTATGTGGTCAGCATCATACCGATATCAAAGCCAAGACACTATTAATATAAGAAAACTACAGATTAACATCCCTTATGAATGTTGGTGCAAAAATACCTAACAAAATACTAGCAAATCAAATTCAGCAGCATATTTTATATACTATGACCAAGTGAGATTTATTCTGGAATATACGGATGTTTCAACATATGAAAATCAATGTAACATGCCATTAATAGAAAGAAGGAAAAAACTACATGATCATCTCAATTGGTACAGAAAAATCATTTGACAAAATTCAATACACTGCCGTGATAAAAATACCCAAGAGACTAGGATTAGGAGAGAAATACCTCAACATAATAAATGCCATATATGAAAAACCCACTAATATCATACTCAATGGTGAAAAACTGAAAGCTTTTCCTCTAAGATCAGAATAAGACAAAGATGCCTGCTTTCATCACTTCTATTCAACATAGTATTGAGAGTTCTAGCCTAAGCAATTAGGCAAGAAAAATAAATAAAGGATACTCAAATTGAAAAGGAAAAAGGAAAATTATCTCTGTTCATAGATGATATGATCTTATATATAGAACACCCTAAAGATTCCACACACACAAAAAAAAATTTGAACTAGTAAACAAATTCAGAAAAGTAGCAGGATATAAAATCAACACATGAAAATCAGCTATATTTCTATATACTGACAATGAATAACTGGAATAGAAAATTAAGGAAACAATCCCATTTACCACAGCATCAAAAGAAGAAAATACTTAGGAATAAACTTAACCAAGGAGGTGAAAGAACTGTGCACTGGAAAGGCAAACTGGACTTCATCCAAATTATAAACTTTTACACATTAAAGGACACTATCAACAGAGAAAAAAGGCAATCCATAGACTTGAGAAAAATGTTTGCAAATGACATATATGATAATGGATTTATATCGAGAATATATAGAGAACTCCTAAAATTCATCAGAAAAATAAACAACCTGATTAAAAAATGAGCAAAGGACTTGAACAGACCTTTTACAAAAGAAGATACACAGATGGCCAATAAACACATGAAAAGATGCTCAACATCATTAGTCATTCAGGAAATGCAAATTAAAACTACAATGAGATACCACCACACACATATCAGAATAGTTGAAACTAAAATGATGGACTATGCCAAGGATATGGAGGAACTGGAGCCCTCATATGTTGCTGGTAGGAAGGGAAAATGGTACAACCACTTTGGAAAACAGTTTGGCAGTTTCTTAAAATGATAAACATACATGTGTCATATGAGTCAGACATTCTATTCCTAGGTATTTCCCAAATGAAATTAAAGTTTATGTCCATACCAAGACTTACATGCAAATCTTAATAAGAGCTTTGTCTTTAATAGTCAGAACTAGAAAAATTCAAATATCTACAATAGATAAATGCTAAATTATGGTATATTTATAAAATGAAACACTACTCAGCAGTAGCAAGGAATGAACTCTTGATACAATAATATGGATAAATCTCAAATAATTATGCTGAGTGAAAGAAGTCAGATAAAAAAGTATACATACTTTATAGTCCCATTTATCTAAAATTCTAGAAAATGCCAACTAATCTATTATGACAGAAAGATAATCAGTGGTTACTGGGGAACAAGAGGGAGGACTTGAGTCATTTTGGGTGGTGATGGATAGGGTCATTATCTCAATTGTGGTGATGGATTCATGGATTTATAGATATGTCAAATTTGTATACTTTAAATATATACAGTTTATATCAATTGTCAATAAAGCATTTAAAGAAATTTGTAGGATGTAGCTAAAAGAGTGGTTATAAAGAAGTTTATAGCTCTATATGCTATATTGGAAAATAAGAAAGATTTAAAATAAAGGACCTAAGTTTCCAATTTAAGAAACTACAAAGAGAAAATCAAAGTAAAACTAAACAGGAAAAAAGGAAATAATAAAGAGCAAAAACCAATGAAATAAAAATCAGACGGAAAAAATTAACAAAGCCAAAATTGATAAACTGCTATTAAGATTGATTAAAAAAGAGAATGTAAATTATCAATATCAAAAATTAGACAGGATACATTATATCATTTATAGACATTTAAAAAATAATAAGAGCCCTTTGTGAACAATTTTATGCCAATAAATTTGATAAATTAAATGATAAAGGACATATTCCTTAAAAACAGAATTTATGAAAATGGACCCAAGATAAAACAGAAAATATGAAGTCTTATGTGTATTACCATAAGACTTCATATTTTAGGAAGGAAAATATTTTATTAAGGAAATTAAATTCATATTTTATTAAGGAAATTAAATTTGTTATAAAATATTTTGCACAGTGAAAATTCCTAGTCCACAGGCTTTCAGCAGTGAATTCTAGCAAATATTAAGTATATAAAGACTACCATATGAAACTAGAATACCAACTTATTAATTTAGAGGGGAAATGTAATTATTACTATAAGTAGTCCAATAGACACTAGATGCTATCTATCTAGAATGAGGTAGAAGATGTGTAAGAATTGGGTAAGCAATTATACTGAAGATTTCAAGCCTCTTCCAACTATAACAATCTAATTATAAGAGCCTACAGTACAAATGATAAAGATATTTCCTATCACTGTGGCATTGCTATTCAAGTAGAACCACACTACAGACCTTTTTGCTTTCATTCTCTGACTTTAAGAATAACTTCAGAAAAAACCTCAGTTCAATGATCAAACTGCTGGCTGGCTGTCCAGACTGCCCTTTCAGATTTAGCAGGTCTGCAAAAATTAGACTTGACAGTCTTTGCTATAACATACCATGATACTAATACTCTGGAATTCATTCCAGATGTATGATGTAGCTTGCTAAAAATGATCCAATTTTAACTCCTGGTATGCTCTTTTTGAAAAAGGAGAAAATAGATTTTCAAAGCAAAGTAGATATTTAAGCTTAAAAAAATGACCTCATGAAAGAATCTGCAGACTTTTTAAAAACAAGCCAAGAACTAGATGTGGTGGTGGACAATTTATCTGAGAAGGCTGGTCTCCAGAGATTAAGTCAGAGACTGTTTGAAGTGGCAACAGAAACAGTTCAGCATCTCTCATGAAAGATCTTATTTTTTTATTTAACAGGATTCCTTCTGGAAATGCCTTAGGCAATGAAGCTTAAAGAGACACTTTAAATCCAGGTGAGCAGACACTAGATCTGGGGATATGGTATACTAAAGCTACTGGCTTTAATAATGTTGAACTTTTTGTGATCTTTGTTAATAAAAGGATTCCTGACTTAGAGAATCAATCTGACCTAAAGTTTAAAAACAATAGGAATACCTTTTTATTATCTTACTTAAAAAAAAAAAAAAAAACAACCTTAATTTTTCTGATTACAAAGGAATACATGTTCACTAATGGAAATTTAGAAAATATAAAAGAATAAACAAAGAAAATAAAAATCACTATCAAACCATACAGCAATAACTACTATTAACATTTGGAATCACACAGTTTTGTGATCTCTTTATGTTGCATGTGATGACCATTTACTTCACTGTATCAATACCCTTATACAATGTGGTTTTTCATGGCTACAAAGTGGTTCATTAATTGCTTAGACATACCATAACTCTGCAGTCAATCCTCAACCCCTGGGCTGCAGCCTAGTACTGGTCTGTGGCCTGTTAGCTGCTAGGAACCCAGTCCACACCCCCCTCCCCTGCATGCCACCCCTGCTGTGGAAAAATTGTCTTCCATGAAATTTAGGAACAGGGCTACACAATAGGAGTCAAGCAAGCTAAGCTTCATCTGTATTTACAGTCGCTCCCCATCCCTCGATCACTGCCTGAGCTCTGCCTCTCCTCCACCATCCCGCCATTCCCCATCCATGGAAAAGTTGTCTTACACGAAACTGGTCCCTGGTGCCAAAATGATACCAAAATGGTGCCAAAAAGGTTGGGGACCACTGCCATAAATGGTTCAACTAACAGTGGGCTATTGGGACACTTAGATTGTTTTCCTTTTTTTTTTTTATTAAAAATGTTGTTTAAGAATCCTTATAGATAATCTGACACACAAGCTTGATTATTTCCATTGGACAGATTCTTGTAAGTTCCTGCTTAAAGGGTGTAAACATTTAAAAATACATATTGCTAATTTTTATGTCAAGTAAAATGGGTCCAAAAACCCTTTTCCTATAATTCTGAAATCCAAAAGGATTGTTTTTTTAAAAAAATTTGGAACCAGAAGTCATCTGGCAGCAGAAGCTGATCTGAATAAAAGTAAAGCTACTCATAGTCTTTATTTATATAAGCATTTGATTATGGGAGGATGCTCTAGTCCACATTGGGAAGGTTATATAATGTACAATAGATGTACCATATTACCTTTCTTTTAGCATTTTAACGACATCATTTTATTGTCTTCTGCCCTCGATTTTTTTTAAAATGAGAAGTCAGCCATCACCCTTATTGTTGTCCTATCTTTGGTTCCTTTTAAGATTTCTTGTTTATCTTTGGTTTCAGCAGTTTAACTATGACTATGATATGTCTAGGTATGGTTTCCTTTATATTTATCCTTCCAAAGGTTTGCTGAGCTTTTTGGATCTATGGCTGATGTTTTTTTTCACCGAATTTGGTAAAATTTCAGACATTATTAGGTCAAACTTCCCTAGTTCCTATCCTCTCTTTCTCTTTATGTTCCACACACATATATATGTATATATACCTATTATATATATTTTAAATTTGATATATAGAAATATGCTAGACTTCTTGATATTGTTTCACAGATCACCAAGAGCTCTCTTCACTTTTTTCCAATGCTTTTTGCCTGTGTTTCAGTTACAATTATTTCTATTGAACTGTCTTCAAATTTACTGATAAAATTTTTTTCTCAATGTTAAAAATGCTATTGATATCTAATAAAATTTTAATTTTAGATATGTTTTTTAGCTGTAGAATTTACACTTGGTTTTATTTAATAGTTTCCATTTCTGTGCTGAGATTTCCCCCATGCGTTCAGTCATTCTGCTGATCTTTTCCTCTAAATCCTTTAACATATTTATAATTTCTAACTTAAGGTTGGGCGTGGTGGCTCACGCCTATAATCCTAGCACTCTGGGAGGCTGAGGCGGGCGGATTACTCGAGGTGAGGAGTTCAAAACCAGCCTGAGCGAGACCCCGTCTCTACTAAAAATAGAAAGAAATTAATTGACCAACTAAAAATATACATACAAAAAATTAGCCAGGCATGATGGTGCATGCCTGTAGTCCCAGCTACTCGGGAGGCTGAGGCAGGAGGATTGCTTGAGCCCGGGAGTTTGAGGTTGCTGTGAGCTAGGCTGATGCCACGGCACTCACTCTAGCCTGGGCAACAAAGTGAGACTCTGTCTCTAAAAAAAATAAAAATAAAAATAAAAATAATTTCTAACTTAAAGTCTTTAACTACCAACTCCAACATCTGGGTGCATTCATAGCTCTGTTTCTATGGTTGCCTTTTCTCTTGATTATAGGTTACATTTTCCTTCTTCTGCCTATTGATCCCATGATAGTTTGGGCTTTGGCTGTTAGAGAGGATTTATTTTGCTTTGCCCTTAATCTTGGGAAAGCCCTTACTCCTTAACTATGGCCCTGTGTGGTTTCAACAGAAAATTTAAGGTATTTATTAATCCCTCTAACATAGCAGCATTTACATTCAAAACTCAGCACCACACAGCTGCTGAAATCTTTGCTCAGTTTCTTAGTTTTCCTAATGCTGCTTTCTGCTGGGTTTCTTGAAGCACTGTTTATATGCAGTTTGGAAACCTGTAAAGAAAATTTCAGGATCCCTCTTCTGTGATACCCTCCTTTCGGAGATTTCCCCCCTCAATTTAGAGCTGCTTTAGTAGCCCTGAGCTTTCACCTCTCTTTCTTCATCCCAGTAAGAATGTTACTTTCTATTTAAGCTCTTTCCACCAGTACTCCAAGGCAAACCAAGAAGTACCCTAGGGAAAAGCTAGTTAAATGTAGAGCTCCTCCAGTTTGCTTCCCTTCTTTCAAAATTTATATTCCCTAGGAGTTCTGCCTGCTTCCAGTTGTTTTCCAAACAATACTTTTTTGTTCTTCATATTTTGCCTAGATCTTATGATTGTTATTGGCAGAAGTGTTCATTCAATATAGGCTACTCTGCCATTACGGGAACTGGAACTCTGTTACATTTCTTTAAATATTTTTTCTGTACTCCCTCTACCCCTTCTTCTAGGACTCCAACAAGATGTACATTTGATCATCTGAAGTTGTTCCAGAGTTCTCTGATGACCTATTCATTTCGTTTCAGTCTTTTTTCTCTGTGTTTGATTTGGGATAGTTTCTACTGCTACATAGTTAAGTTCACTAATCATTTCTCCTGCCATGCCCATTCTGCTATTAGTCTCATCTAGTGAATGCTTCATCTCAGACACTGCAGTTTTAATCTCTACATGTTCTATTGGCTCTAACTTCAATATCTCTATTTAACATGTTCAATCTTTCCTCTAGCTTCTGGAACATTAGAATACAATTATAATAACTTTAAATGTCCTTGTCTGCTAATTCTATCATTTGTGTCATTGCTGGGTCAGTTTTAATGGACTGATTTTTTTCCTCCTTATTATGACCTGTATTTTCCTGCTTCTTTTCATGCCTGATAATTTTTGGTCAAATGTCAGACACTGTGAATTCTACCTTGTTGAGTATCAGATAATTTTATAATTCTTGGTATATTCTTGAGCTTTGTTCTGGGAAGTGGTTAAAATACTTGGAAATAGTTTGATCTTTTTATGTTTTGGTTTTAAGCTTTGCTAGGTGGGATCAAAGCAGCAGTTAGTCCAGGGTTAATTTTTTCCACGCTACTGAGGCTAAGACTTTATTCAGCACTCTCAATACTGCCTTGTGAATTATAAAGCTTTCCAAGCTGGCCGGTGGGTACAGGTTTTATTCCTGGCTTTATGTGAGTTTGGGATGCTGTCCCATCTAGTCCTTTTATGTGGCACTTTTTTACCTCAAGTCATTTCCTCATACAAATCGGTGAGTACTTGACTGAATAGTCAAAGTTGTCTTCTGCAGCTCTCTGGAGCTCTCATTCTCTGTGGCTCTCTTTTCTAATACTCTGTCCTATGAACTCTAGCTACCTTGGCTTCTGTAGACTCTTAGCTCTGTCTCCTTGATTCAGAGAGACAGATAAGTTCTGCCTCTCTCAATAGTGGCTTGGAAACATCTTCTAGGCAGTAATTTAGGGGCAATCCTAGCATTTATGTCATTTGTTTCTTGTCTTTCAGAGAGTTGCTATTTTTCACTAACTGACTTCCAATGTTTTAAGAAGCATTATTTTATATATTTTGTCCATTTCCCCTTAAGAAATTCCAAATGTATCTTGTCCAGAAGTGGAATTCCCTGCATTGCCTTTATAAAATCCAAAAAATTCTGAATTCTGAACATATCTGGCCACAGTGACTTAGAAAAGGGATTGTGAACTTGTACAAATATGCATTCATACTAGTAGTGCAAAAAAGTATCTGTCTCCTCATGTCCTTATCAGTATAAATGCATATGTATTTTTTTTTTAGCCAGTCAAATTTAGCAGTGGGGGGGTTGAATACCAACTTTAGTGACACTAATGTTAATAAGTTCTGATAACCCACTACATTGGACCAGCCTATGCATACGTATTTTTAATGTGTGCCAATTTAATTCTAAATTTTAATTTTTAAAAATTTCCCAGTTTAATAAGTAAAAAAAAAAGGCATCATATTGCTGTTTTAACTTACATTTTTTTGATCACTGGTAAAATTTAATATCTTTTCACATTTTACTGGACAACGGAATTTTTTTATGTCCTAATCTCATACTTCTATCAAAGCCTTAGTGTTACATACAGATTGAAGACACTTTTGTGGTATCACTGTCATCCTTAGGTCTCTTGGACACAACCTTTTTCTGTATCAAAGGGAGATGTACAAATTTACAGAACTATAAGAGTCTGGTTGTTACACAACTCTGGAAAAGAGGTGAGGACTGGGCTGGTAATACAGATGTGGCTGTCCATCCATTTCCAACACTCACAATCACTGAGTCATACCATCTCCTTTGTGTTAAACCAGGGGTCCTCAAACTTTTTAAACAGGGGGCCAGCTCACTGTCCCTCAGATTGTTGGAGGGCTGGAGTATAGTTAAAAAAA